TGTCTTCGAGGCATGGGCATCCGCCTGCCCACGTGCACTGGCAATTGAAAGTTCTGAGATCGTTCCTGTAAATTCAGGTTCATACAATCCACGGAAATGCGTCACTCTCCACATGTATGAGAAGGGGCGTGAATTCGAGATACCTCTCAGGCAGCTATGGAATCTCTTTGAGGAATTCTTCTCAAGTGAAGCATGCAAGAACCTTATTGGGATCGTGGGAATCGCAGTGCGCTCTATGTCTTTTGTACAGATCAAGACGATGTCATACAAAGGCGCAGTGTTCTACGACAATCGCTGGTCGGACCCTGGGAATTTCATCTACACAGTCTGGTGGAATATATGGGGTCAAATGGCCAGGTATCTTCAAAGACGACAGCCTGCCAGGGCCTCGTCTAAATCCATGAAGGAGCTTCGCTCAATCGCTGGTCGTGTCACCGATGTACAGAGGATGGTACGCGAGCGTTGGAATAGGGAACCCGACACTTCACGATGGCTAGAGCTTATTGGAGATTTGATGGAGCTTGGGTTGGGAGCGGGGTATGTTGACCCAGATCGGTTCTGGAACGTAATTCAGGGGATCTCTCCCATCATCTGCTCCATTCGGTCAATTTTGACGTTTGTCGATCAACATGGGTCTTTTGCTAGGACCGGGAAAGACCGTCGCCTTTTTCGTGGCCCATGTGCGCCCTATACTCGGAGGTTTGCCGTGGCAATGTTTCACGGAATGCAAGTGCACAAATTTAATGTTACGGAATCTTCAGAGGTCTGGGTCTCTTACCTAATTGCGGCCTCAGAGAACAGGCTTCAATACTAGTGGAGCCGTGGCATTTTACGCCTCACGGAATTTGCATTTGGGTCTGGATCGAGACCCCATTGGGATCTCCACTCCCTTCTTCCGCCTACCACCTAGTGGATTGGCTGACGCCAGGAGATGTCACTTGTGCGATTCTATCTGGGACCCGCTCGATCCATTCGATCTTAGGGATACCGTGGCTTCGCAACAATCCTTCCCTCCTTTGGATGCCTCTGAGTCCTTGGGCTTCGTCGTCTGTTTCCCTCCCTTGGGTCTGGGGGGATGGGCCCCTGCTTTCCCCATGACCCCTGTCGGCTCCTGCAGTCTCGGGCTCAAGCTTTCGGTATGTTACATCGCACGGCTTCGGATCCTTACGTTATCTTTCAGGGGAAGCTTTGCAGGTCTGACCGCAAAGTCTGATTCCTGTCTAAACGTGATCTGGAGGCACTTTCATACTGCTCCCCGCTACTATTCCGAAGGGTGCTCAAGTTGCCGGCTCGGTTTCTTATTCCGTCGGGCCTTGGTGGTCCTCATTTCACATATGACTGGTGCAAAATCCCATACTTCAAAGCTTGCCGGGACAGCGGCTATCATGGTCTGTATGTCAACGTTCGGGGTCCCGATGAAAGGGTTCGTAGAGTTCCTTGGACAGAATTTGTTGCGGGTCAGTAGCCGTTTCGCCTCAAATCCTTACTGGAGCTCTTGTCTGAGACGGCTGGGAAACCTCCAACTTCAGGGGATGGCTAAACGCTGCCTTCCAGTCAAGCTCGCGGCCAAGAAGCGTCTCAAGTGGACACACGGCTCGGGCGGAATGTGGAACTACTGCGAAGTGGACGAGGTCTACACCAAAGTGTGGAATACGGAGTACTTTGACACGTGGATCGATCCCGATTCGGGCTGGCCCCACCCAATTGTATGGTACTTGTCCGATTACTGGTGGGATGGAGATTTCTTCGTGGAGAAGTGGCGTTGGAGGTACGGCTGAAGAGCACTCCTAAGACTCCCTCAGACTGGGATCTTCTGGTGTCCGCGGTGCGTGGGCCTGCGGCTTTTGGAGGACTCTCAGTCTCTCTCAAGCTCTCTTGCATGTATTTCTACGATGGTGGTTTGCAAAATACAAAAGGTTATAAACATTTCCAGCCACCTTGCGTTCTCCATATTCGTTTGAATTCACCCATATTCCATATTCCTCGACATGCCTGGTGTGGGCTCTCACGGTTGGGATCTCATTCGGCTTTGACAGTTTATCTTGCGTGCCTCCGTATCTTCTGGGTTCATTGCGTGCTTGGGACATTCAGTTTATCATTCAGATTCTCTTTTAGTCATATATATCAGCCTTGACCACTACTCATGTTCAATGGGTTTCATGGGACTTAATGGAAGTTTTCTTCACCTCTTACTTTGTCCTTGGGACCATGTGCTTCCAAGGTTGGGCCCCAATTGTCACTCAAGATCTTGTTAGTCAAATTTGGGCACCTCTTTCATTATGTTTCTCGCCTTCATTCAACACAAGAAGGACCTAGTGGTGGGATTCATTTGGGATATTGGACAGTCTTTCATTCACGATTTCATTCATGATCTCTTTCAGTATCATGGGTTTCAATCCTGGGTTTGGGCTTTACCTTTTCTCCGCCTCTTTCCTCTCCTGCCTCTCTCCCCTTTTCTCTCTTTCTCTACCGTACGCACTTGGCGTATTGGTGGCTTCTCAGGTTTGTGTTTTGGGAGGACCGACCTTTCAAGGCGCTTCATCATCATCATCATCCCGCGCATTCAGGTGTGCGGATCTCCTTGGGACTCTGTGACTGTGAGGGACTTGCTGTCTTGGGTATACGACGATTGCTGTCCTTCGAGCGCTTCCCCACATGGTTGTGTGGGCCGCCAGGCGCTAGGTCACATAGTTGTTCGGTGCACGTCCATTCCCGAGCGACCTCGTGTTCTCACAGAGTGGCTACCCCTGTACCCCTACTGCGTCCAGACTAGATCGCTGGTCCTCTGAACGCAGGCGCATCGCTCAGCAGTGGTCGGGTCTTGCCTTTGCCTGCTCGGCCTTAGGCTCCCCCTTGCGTGGATGCGTTTTCTGATGCTGCGATGGTTCGCTGGCGCTGTCAGAATCCTCCTCCTGCTGGACGACGTCACCAGTTTCAGTCTGCTCATACCCGTCAGACTCCCTGGATTGACTTTCCCGCACGGAGATCGTTCCCTACCTCGCGGTTGTCTCGGCACGATCACGGCCTGGGACGCACTGCGCGCCATTTTGGCCGCGCCTGGCTCGCCCGGGTGGCTGACCTCAGACTCCCTGGGTTGCAGCTTGCACGACCGCCTCAGGTGGCTGACCTTTCAGACTCCCTGGGATTGCACGACCGCCTGGCCTCTCAGACGCCCTGGGTTGCCGCTGCTTCGCCGCCTGATCCGCGGCCCCGCGCGCGCCCGGGAATTTAGTCGCGGCCGCAGCCCGACCGTGACTGCTCGCCGCCGGCGCTTCCGCGCGAAAAAAAAAATCCACCAGCCCATCCGGACACGATGCCAAGGCTAATAATTGAGGCGATCAGGGAAGTGAGGGAGCACGCAGAGGCACAGAGGGCAGGGGAAACCGTTTTACCCCAAGAGGGGGAGGATGGTGGAGGAATTGGAGGAGGAGGGGGAGGAAGTGGAGGAGGAGGAGGAGGAGGGGGGGGGAAGGGGGATGTGTGTGTGTGTGTGCGACGAGGGGCATGGCAAGAAGCGTGCTCCGACGGTTCTGTAGCTGTTGCAACTTTCTTCCAGGAAAATCTCAAGAAATGAAAGCGACCCGAAGCACGAGCGACAACATAGAGAACAACAAAGCAACTGTCAAACATAATTGTCTAGCAGACTGTCGGCTGTCAGCGACGCGGAACTGTCAAACACGGCGCGGAATTGTCGAACAGAATTGTCTAACAGATTGTCGGGGCCATGGGAGCCTCTTGGAGGCATCTTGGGGGCTCCTTGGAGCCTCGTGGGCGCCTCTTGGGGCCCTCTAGGGGCGCTCTTGGGAGCCTTCGGAGCGCTCTTGGGGCCATCTTGGAGGAGATCGATCAAAACATATGCGGGCTTTAATTCGGGTACCCCATCGGGAGCCCTCAAAATCGTTTCTTGGGCACCTTCTGGGGCGCTCTTGGAGCGCTCTTGGGCGCTCTTGGCGCCGTCTGTGGGCTCTCTTGGGCCCCTCTTGGGCCCCTGTCGGGCCATTTTGGAGCCGCCTTGAGGCGTCGGATGGCCATCGGAAGCGAAAAGGCGAGAAGGCAAACATCAGTTGTTTGCTGTAAGCGTTTGAAGCGACGTCGCATCCAATCCCTCTTCCCCGCCCGACCAGATTGCCGAAAACATTGTCGATGTAGATATCGAAATGGAGCCGTGGGTCGACTGGATACGACGCTCCACGCATTACGCCGAGCATCAACTCGCGAAGTTGGGCGCCGCGGACTGGGTTACAGAAGTCCAGCGGCGACGATGGAGATGGGTCTCCCGCATCGCCGCCCTCTCCGGAGCAGAATGGGCGAATATTGTTTTGCTGTGGAATCCAGACCAAGTGCTCCCTCGACAAGCTCATCGACGGCAAGGGCGGCAGAAAAAACGATGGTTAGATGATCTTTTGGCACATTTCAGAACACATGTTCGTGAAGACACAGCAACTCCGAACGACATGCTGGAAGCAGCCCGCACGCCCAACTGGGCCACATATGAAAGGTCGTTCTGTGAGTGAAGGCTTCCCCACATGATGATTGTTGTTTTCCACTCTCCCCGCCTCCTCCTCCTCCTCCTCCTCCTCCTCCTCCTCCTCCTCCTCCTCCTCTGACCCGGCTGCCGCGCAGACCGACGCAACTGTGCGGCCAGGCGTCGTTTTCTTTCCGCCGTCTTCCATGTTTCACATGTGGCTGGCGCCCCGGTGCCAACTTGCCGGGCCCTCGCGGCTCACCCTGGCAAGGCCGATTCCGATTCCGAAGCGTTTGAAGCATGTTCGGCCTCTTGGGGGCCTCCTTGGCCCCGCCCCCCCTGGCCGCGCGGGGCCGTCTTGGGGCGGTCTTGGGCCTTCTTGGAACATCTAGGGGGCCATTTTGAGCCATCTTGGGCTCTCTTGGGCCATGTTGGAGGTCATCTTGGGCTCGCTGTGTCCCTCTTGGAGCCATATTGGGCCATCCTGGGCGCTCCAGCGGCCCGCGGAACCCCCCGTCCAGGTCCAGGGGGGGGGGCAGGGGGGAGGGGTAAACCCCTCCCCGAGCGGGGATAGTGGACGATAGAAGAGGAAACGTTCTTAACCGCTCACGCCTGGAGGGCTGGTGGGATTTGGGCCCAGTCACGCGGCTCAATCGGTGTCGCTTTTCAGACGCCGAGATCGCCGAGTTCGACGACCTTTGGGGCGCGGAGAAGTGGACGGTGAGCCATGTTGCAGAATTACGGAAGAAAGTTGCGGAGAGCGTGGGTCCACCTGTCACGCCCGAGGTGGCGACGTTGGACCTCATGAGGGTGAGGATGCCAGCAATTCGAACGACACGGGGCCCAGAGTGGATTCAGTGGGCAGCGAATTGCCGCGATGCGTTTCGCAGTATGGCGATTCGACTCGAGTGGCCTCGCAAGACGGAGCACTTCAAGTTCACGTTCGCAAAGCAAAGGCCTTGTGTGTTGGCCATGACCAGGCTTGAGGTCGCGATGGATGTGGAGCCTATTTTGGATGGGCCCGATTGGCATGAACGCGATTTGGTTGTGTGGGAGCACAGCTTTGTCCTCATGTTTGCCGACGTGCGTTGCAGCGACACGGGTGACTTCGACGGTGCCACTCCTTCGTTCTTGCCAGATGTTTTCATGGGGCCGTCTGGGTTCCTGAGTTCCGATGCGGACTGGATGTCGTTGGCGGAAGCCAAGCGTGCTTTGCCATGCGAGCAGGGGGCGCGCGTCGACCGCCGAAACGGCGAGGTCGACGCAGTCCCCGGAGCAGTGGCACCAGAGCCATGGATGGAGGAAATGTTCATGTGGGACTACCTGGCCAACGGCGATACCGGTGGAGACGACTCCACCTTAGGGCCCCGACGGGGAAGTCGGAAAAAGGACAACAGCGATGATGAGAGTTCTTCCTCTGATATTTCCGAGGGGTCGTGGGTAGACGAGTTCGACGCCATGGCGTTGCTAGGGGCAAGCGTGTGGACTTGGAGGCTGAGGTGGACAAGGGCAAGGACCACTTCGGGTGGCAGATGCGCGGAGGCAAATGGACCATGAAGCATGTTGGAGTGCCGTATGACAGTTTCAGGGCCTTGGCGAAGACGATGGAAGCGAGGTCCTTTTGTCTGTGCTACGGCCTGCGCAAGTCAGCGACTTTCGGAATAAATGCGTACGGAGACGAGAATTGCTTGGCCTTGTGCCAGGCTTGGGTTGAAACAGTGTTGTGGTGGTGGAACTGTTGGCAAGCTCATGGTGGCCGGCCTGGCCACAGATTCACGCCTGGCGACCGTGCTGGATTCGTGGAGCCCGTCGGTATAGCGGACTTGTACCGAGATGGCTCGCCGGCGCTACGCAAGCGCATAGATGCTATCAGGCTGATCGCACCAGCAGGCATTCAGAAATAGGACAATACACCGGAAACCTTACAAACATACACATCATGATCGTGAACATGGATTCGGTCCCCGATTCTGTCCCCAGTTTTTTTGTGATTGATTCGATTGTTAAAAAAATTGGGATGCATTTTGGGGAACGAATTGGGGAGAAGATCGGGGGGCGCATCCTGGAGAACTGGGGAGGGCCATTTTCGGACAGACAAGCTCCCCCGAATGGCTTCCCCAATTTCGCGTTTTAGGGAAATTGGGGAACTGGAGGCCGAAAATCGCGGAGCGATTTGGGGGTGGGGGTGGCCATGCACGCATCCATGTGCATGCGAGCAGTGTGATGCATTCTGTGCGGTTGATGTATCACTGACGCTTTGCGTATCCCCGCCAGTCCATCCAGAAACGATGCCCAGGCTGATTGAGGCGATCAGGGAAGTGAGAGGGGCATGCAGAGGAACAAAGGGCTGGGGAAACCATCTCACCCCAAGAGGGGGAGGATGGTGGAGGAATTGGAGGAGGAGGAGGATGTGGAGGAGGTCAGGTCATGTCAGGTCAGGCAGTCTTCGAAAGCTCTTCGGCGAGAAGGCTACCGGTGGGGCGAAGCACTAACAACCCCAGTCCTTGGTCCTAAAACGCGCAGATGCCCCAACATGTTTTAAAGCAATTTAAAACATGTTGACAGAACGCAGAACACCCAAAGCTCTGCCAGTTTACGCGTCTTGGGACGTCTTGGGGGGTTCCTGGCGGTCCCGGAGGCCTCTTGGAGCGTCTCTGGTGCCTCGGGGAGCCCCTTGGGGCCTCTGGGGGTGGTCTCTTGGGAGCCTCGTGGAGGCCTCTTGGGCGCCTTTTGGGGCGTCCTGGGCACCTCTTGGGGCCCTCTTGGGGCGTTCTCGGGAGCCTTTGGAGCGCTCGTGGGGCCATCTTGGAAGAGATCGGTCAAAAAAGATGGGAGGTCTACTTCGCGTGCCCCCACGGGGGCCCCACACATCGCCTTTTTGGGCCCCTCTTGGGACCCTCTTGGGGCGCGATTGGGCGCTCTTGGCGCCGTCTTGGGGCTCTCTTGGGCCTCTCTTGGGGCCCTCTTGGGCCATTTTGGAGCCATCTTGAGGCTTGGGAAAGCCATCAGGCGCCAAAGGGCGAGATGGCAAATGCACGCGGATCGGGATCCGGGCGATATGTTTTTCCTTGGAGCAGGGGGGCGGCACAGCATTTGTTTGCAGGACACCACACCAGAGGATTTATTAATCAGAGTGTGCGGCGCAGCCACTTGTTGCAGGACACTACACCAGAGGATTTGTTAACCAGAGTGTGGAACGGCTCAGGCATGCGATTGGCGCTGGCTTGCACGATTGTGGACACGGTTGACAGCACTGTTGCATTACACCGTAACAGAGGAGTTGTTAACCAGAGTGTGAAGTTTGAAACCCACATTCTAACACAGGCATCCTGTATCCCGCGCTGACCAGAGAAGCATACTTTCGTCACTCATTGCATGTTGCTGCAAACGATTGTTCGGGAGTTCCCGTGCGGCTGCTGCGATGTATTCTGCAGGGATGAACGGAATGTGCCGGATGTTCCGGGCGCTCCGTAGCCATTTTGGCTCGACCGATTGAGGCTAGCCCCAGCCCGCTCGCGAGGCCGCGCCTCTCAGAACTGAGCGCCCCCGTGATGGGGAAGAAGCCGGTGTCGAAGAAACAGACCGTCACAACACCTCACAAGCGCAAGGTTGATGCTGGGCCAGGGGCGTGCGCGATGGACGTGCTGGAGGCCGACGACGTGCAGCCTAGCACGGCCAAAAAGCCCAAGAGGAACCAGGACCAGACCATTTCGAAGCTGATCGAGGATAACTTCATCACCTACGGCTTCACCCAACAGGAGTTGTATATCACGATCGTCGATGGCCTCCTCTTGTCCGACAGGCTGGCCAGAGACAGAGAGAGGTTTCAGGGTTTTTCCCAATATTCTCGACCCCACCACCACTTCTCCCCACCACCACTACCCCTGGCACCCTCTCCACCACTACCCCTGACACACCTTCCATAGCCCACCTGCCTCCACCAGTTCCCTCGGGAGATGGGTGGTAGTGGTGGTGATGGGAGGTGGGGGGTCGCGGTGGTGACGGGGGGCTGGGGGTGGGGGCGGGGTCTAAATGCAAATCGCCCAACAGCTCAGGCGGGAGAAGAAGGAGATCACGATGGGCAAGGGGTATTACGAGAGAGTGAGGGAGGAGTACAAAAATCCCAACAGCGCAATTGAGAGATGCCAGTCGACGAAAGATGAGAACGCGGATGAGTTTCTCGTGGAGGCCTTGACGGCCCTTCACAAAAAGAAGAGCGACATCGACCTTCTCTCCCAGTGGTCCCAGGACGTGGACGACGTGACAGAGTCAAGTGCGAGCGCTCTGTACCAGTCGGCTCTAATGATACCGCCGATGAAATCTCTGACTAATGCTTGTGCGGTGGTGGCCATTATGCAAGTTATAGCCCAACGCAAGTTGCACACCAAGTACCCCGAATTCTTCCAGGCCGCGGTTGGCCAGCTAGATACTGCCGCGGTGAAGCATTCGGCGTGCTCGCAGAAGGAGGATTTCACTAGCCGGGATTGGTGGACAGACAACAAAGATTGGACATCTTTGATTGTCCATGGGGCTGACGTGCAGCGCTGATGGACAAGAAAGACACGTTCGTGGGGGAGGAGGCCGCGGTATCCAGGGCCATTCAAGGTTCCACGTTGGGGCGGAGGCTCTTTGGGAAAGTGGCCCGCCAGCTTGAGGTCGAAAAGATTTCGGTGATGATCGAGCAGGCCCAGAAGCCGATGACGACTGCCCGTGCGATCACCAAGACCCTCGAGGACAACGCGCGGAAGGATTTCATTGCCAGGATGAAGTCGTCGGGCAGGGACCCCAATCGGCCTTGCCCGAAGAAGAAGCAGTTCAAGTGCCTTTATCGCCGGCTTGAATATCCTTCGGTTGCGACGTCGCCCATGGACCAGTATGGGTTGCAGGCCGACGCGATCGTCAAGGGCCAGGCGTTGGATTGGAAGCTCTTGCCGCCGATGTGGGCGGAGGGCGACTTGGTGCCTGCTCCTCCAGCGGGCCCGGGGGCAATCTATGGCGCCAGGCTGGCGAAGCCGAAGGCCAGCCGCAAGTCCGCCACAGCTGAGCTCGACGACACGCAGGCGACTTCGACCATGATAAAGGCTCACATGAAGAAGAAGTCCCAGTTTTTGAACCAAACGGATCGCATGTTCCGCAACGAGATGTTCTTCTGGCAGCACTTGACTGGCATGGGTGTCACCAAGACGGTGCAGGACTCGATTGTGGGGTGCTTCGGCACGCCAGAAACTAAGAAGTCGATGGAGGCAGTCACGGCCAGCTTGCAGACGCTTGCGTCGTCCAAGCTATTCGCTTTCTCGGGGCCGCAGACGCAGAACCTCTTCACGAACAACGTGAAGATCTGGATGGACGCGCTCACGGCAGGCAAGTGCCCAAAGTTCGACAAGCTGCCCTCGAACGCTTTCTTGCTGGCGGCGCAGGCGGGCATGCTCAACGCGTTCGAGGTCCCTTGCGCCATAGATGGAGATAGTTCGAAGTTTACGCCACACGCCGATGGAGTCAATGCGCTGTGGGGGGTCCTGAAGGGGAAGCCTGTTGAGGAAGTCAAGTTCCAGAACATTCAGGCCGTTGTGAAGTATGGTTGGGCGCTGTCTAAGGAGGACCGGGCAGCGGCCACCACCTTGCTCGACCGCGTCGCGGCCAGTGCAGCATCCAGCGCCGGCGTTGTTGAGGAGTCGAACAGCAAGGTTAAGAAAGCGGATGTCAACACTAAGGCGATGGTCCGGAACCTCTTCAAGGAGAAGCCTTGAGATCAGCTGCGCTTCGGACCAGCCCCTTTTGGCCGGGCTTGCAGCTTCCATGCTCGAGAGGCTTTGACATGCGCTGATGAATGTTATACCCAGGTTGAATAACATATGATATGTTTAATACTATGCTGCAAGTTATAATGCCATGGGTCCTGTTCCGACAATGTGTCTCTCAGTGCATGGGCTGTGCATTTCTAGCGATGTATGTATCGTGCGGCTGCTGCGTCGTAGGCTTGGGGCGGCCTGCGGATGCTCATCCAGGGGCGGGCGGATGTCAACGAGTTGACAACCCAACACTACATAGTCCTTGGTTGTTTAAGCTGCTGCGTGGGGATTTCCCTCTGCACAAGTATCGAAGATTTGTGATGGACGATTGGTTACGTTAGTTACCCGTCCGGTTCAAAACATGTTACTTGCTTGACTGTTGGTTCAATTGAATCCTTGCTGTCCTCGCCCACCTCCCTCCCGACCTCCCTCCTTTCCTCCCTACCTCCGTATCTCCCTCCGTTTCTCCGTCCTTCCTTCCGTACGTTCCTCTCTCCCTCCCTTCTTTTCTACCTCCAGTTGTCTTACTCCCCGCGCTCAGCCACGCCAGGGCGCGCAACACGAGGGCACGACAGTCAGCAGCAGTTACTCTGGCAGGCGAAGTTCCTGGCGCTTCGCGTATCTCCACCAGCCCATCCAGAAACGACGCCCAGGCGAGTTGAGGCGACCCGGGAAGTGCGGGAGCACAGATGGGGACATCCGAACCGAGCGAAGGAGTGGTGAGGAGATGGAGGAGGGTGGACGGATGGATGGATGAGGGAGTGGGGGGAATGATGATTAACAGACGAAGGAAGAGGAGGAGGAGGGAGAGGAGGAGGAGGGGGAGGAGGAGCAGGAGGGGGGGGAGGAGGAGGAGGAGGAGGAGTTTTTTTTTTTTTTTGGGGGGGGGGGGTTTCTCTCCGACGGCCCGGGGGCAGAACGTAGCATTGCCAAGCTTAAAAGGGCCGCCCGCGCAGTCCAGCGCCAGATACGCGCTGCAAAACGGCGCTGTTTTAAAGCGACCCCTTGATATTACAAGGGCTCAGGGGCAACATTCCGCACAAACGTAACCAACACGGTTTGTCACGAAATTGTCCTCCGAGATATCGTGCCAAGGCACGCCACGAAAAAAAGGTTAACTCAAGACCTGCCCGCCCCAGCGGCACGTGCCGTGAGCGCTGGTAGGTCAATTGTGGAGCGACTCGCATTCCCCCTGGGGGACGGAGGGGGAGAGGACGGGGGAGGCGGAGGACAAGAGAGCGAGAGGGAGGACCTAGGTCTTGCCATCGTCAACAAATTTGTGGACGCACTCAGCCCATTGCTGTGTGGGCCTCCCACGTCGTCGATTCAGAACCCACCGTCGCGGCTCACGCGACCCCGGCTCGCAAGTAAGAGCCCTAAGCAGGTGATCGTTAGGAAGGGCGGCAATCGTAGTGTACAGTTTCGCTTGCTTGCTAGTCAAGATTGCCTTCAGAGGTCGTGTCCCTCCTCCTCGAAAACTTCTTTGTTCGACACTCTCGATACGTAAGAACCCGGTATCGATAGTATTATAAGAAGACGCCGGGCGTGGAAGCCGTCCAGACGGCGTTTGTCCGCTTGCAACAACCAAATTTCATCAATATTGTACAAACGCTTGGAGGTCATCTTGGGCTCTTTGAGGCGCTCTTGGAGCCGTCTTGGGCCATCTTGGACTCTCCAACCCCTCGCGGAACCCCTCGTCCAGGTCCAGGGGAGGGGGTAGGGGGAGGGGTAAACCCCTCCCCGAAGGGGAAATAGGTGGTTGTAGGAGAAACCGCCCTAGACCACCTACGCCCTAAAGGGCTGGTGGGGTTACACACCGCTGAAGACTGGAACTCCGCTTGAAAAAAAATCCCATGATGTGGGATCGCTGATTTGCACAGTAGCAATCCCATTAAATAGGATAGCAACTGGCAGATTTGCCAGAGCAACAATCCCACTAAGTGGGATAGCAACTGTTCTAGCATTTGAGGGTGGGCCGACTAGCACCGAATCTACGGCAGATCTAACCAGCCCGGGCAAGCACTTGCAGTGCAGATTCGGGGCGCTGCCTCTGCTCATCCGCACCATGTTTTAGCCAACATAAACAGATGATGTAGCAACGCTCTCAGGAATGGCGCGGCGGTCAAGCCAGCGATTGTTCGCCGGCGCATCAGCGTGCAGGAGGCAGTGGATCTTTGTTTCCCTTGACATCAACATGGCCTTCCTGAAAGGACTTGCGTATCGAGAGCTTGCTGTAGCCGCCGGTGAAAAGGAGCACGCGGCGTGATTTTCGTTGCCGCTTGGCTCGGCATCTGCGCTCGGATCTTTCCCGGGAGTCGAGCGCCATGATGAGTCGAGACACTGCCTGCAGCGCCGTCTCACTGAAGCTCAGGAAAGCCACGGGAGGTTTTGGTCGCAGACCCGCGTCTTATGACGAAAACGTCGAGACGAGCCCTGACCTTCTTACTGCCGGACATGTCGATGACATAAACGTGGCCGGCACCGAGGACACCATCCACGAGTGCGTCATGTGTGTTGAGGATACTTTTGGGGCACGTTAACTCAACGAACGCGCGCGTGTCATTTGCGCAGTGAGAAATGCTGAGGACAGCGACGGCTATGTTACTCTTGACCATGATGAGTACATAAAACAGCTCCGTCCTATACAGTCTCATGAACTCACGGGCGCAGATGCTGAGGCTAAGGCATCGAGGATGGTTACTGACGTGTTTGTCGGCCTCGGAGGCGCTTTGGCTTGCGCCCTTGCCACGCACGTGTGGTTACTGGTATATGTTGTATCACTGCAGCGTGTCCAAAAACCGACAAGTAAGGAAGTGCGACGACTTTGCGCGATTACCAGGAAGCCGCAGGCCTGCCCCGAGAAGATCGTCTAACTAGCGATGACATTAACTGGCGAGGTCGACGTGCGTGGCGACCCCGGCTACCATCGTCTGAACGCAGAAGCAGATGACGCAGTCAAAGGCTATGGTATTCGCGGGGCAAGCTTGCTAAGGCGTGGGCACGCGCAGGCTGGTATGCCCGTCGCCCATCCTATCGACGCGCGCTGCAAGTTTCATTGCTTGCATTCCGCTCGAGCTACTCAGCGGAGGCATTAGCAGCAACCCGCAGCGTGGAGGACTGTTATCCCGCGATTGTCACTTCGCGCGAACTCCTCGCAGGGCCGCTGACAACCACTCAACTGAAGGATATACTTGAGATGGGCGGCCCGAGCATTAAGTTCACTCTGAACATTGATGCAGAATCCGTCTTCAAGTCCCTGTCAAACAAAGGCCAGAAGAAGCCGACAGAGTGTGCACTTTTGGGGTGCACCAGTTGGATGCGGCAAATGATCGACCGAGGTATCGTGCATTGTGTGCAGTGGTGTGGCACTCGTGATATGATTGTGGATGGCCACACCAAAGGGAGCATCGACAGTGATATGCTCCTACAAGTCGTGGAGGGAGTGCGAGCCTTCAAGCACGACTTGGAACGGCACACTCCTTACAGGGCTGGCCAGGCGAGATCATTTGAACCGCCTGGGGAGTAGCTACCTGCGGGGTAACTTGCCTGCGAGGTAACTTGCCTGCGAGGTAACTTGCCTGCGGGCCAGCCTGCCTAGGTTGAGCACGCCTGCTGCTGCCTACCTTGTGTTTTGTAGTTGTTTTGCTGTAGCCGGCGGACCCCCCCCCCCCGATGCTGAAGGAGGCTGGGCAAAGGCAAGAGGTATCGAGCGTTTGTCCGCGGCCGTATGGTTTCAAGCGGTCGGCTGCCAAGATTTGACTGTGCCTTTTCGATGCGCACTATGTTCCATTGAGACCGACAGCATATTCGTTTGACGTGTACCGCCGCAGTCCCAGCTCTCTCCTACTTCTGGGACTATCGTTGATACCGTGTAACAGGGTTGGACGCATGCTTCGCCTTAGGCGAAGCATCTGGTTGGGCTCCCCGACTAGCTTCGAACTGCGCGAGCCACGTTGGCCGACCACGGGCGGCCACGGGGCGGCCACCAGCAACAATCCCCGGGATCCACATCAAATTCTGTAGTATAACAAGAACACCGTGTGGGAATTGATCGGGTGACATCAAGGATCGGCCAAACTTTTCGTTTTCCTTCGGAGGAGACTGGCCGCACCCCCATTTACGTAGAACGTTTTCCCTCTTCACGCGTCTAGTGACGAGCGTTTTTCCGAGCGTTGTTCGCTTCGTCAGCGAGGGGGGGGAGGGGTGACCCGCGGCGCTGCTGCCTGCCAAGGCGGCCTGGCCTTGCAAACGGGCGTCTAACGACGCAGCTCGCGCGTCGAGGTGTCTCCCAGCCCGCACACGTGCACTGTTTTAAGATATCGGGGCCACGAGAATCAATCGAGCCAGGCTTCTCGACCCGAGCTGTTTCCTGACGGCCCAGCAGAGTCCGAAGGTAACGAACAGCCTTTTGGCGCGATTCCTTTCGAGTCGCTAGGGTGGCAGTGCCAATTTCGATTCGATCGGTCCGATTCTATTTGAGCTCGCTGGTAGCGATCCGATTTGCTTTTGAGTTCTCAGCGGTCCGATGCGACCCAATGCGTCCATGACGCTGCTGCGCATCATGGCGCAGCCGATCCGATTCGATTTCGACTCCTTGACGATGCAACCCGATCCGATGCACATGTCGAACCGATCCGATTTACCGATTCGATGCTGGCTAATTTTGGGGGTCTGGATCTCCAGAGCTTTACCAAGGTCTCCAGAGGGCACCACAGGCCTCCAGGGCCCTTGGAAGCCCATCGAAGGAGCCTTACAACGTCCAGAGCATCAAACCCAGTGAAGGCGGAGGAGGAGGACGAGGAGAAAGAAGAGAGGAGGAGGAGGAGGAGGAGGAGGAGGAGGAGGAGGAGGAAAAGGAGGAGGAGGAGGAGGAGGAGGGGGAGGATGAGGCAGAAGACGAGTAGGGGGAGGACGAACGAGGAGGAAGACGAGGAGGAGGACGAGGAGGAGGAGGAGGAGGAGGAGGAGGAGGAGGAAGAGGAGGGGGAGGACGAGGACGAGGACGATAAGGAAAGAGAGGAGGCGGAGGCAGAGGGTGAGGAGAGAGGGGGCGATAAGCAGGAGGTTGAGGAGGAGGAGGAGGAAAACGAGGGTGGCTGGGCGCCTGTCGGAACCGCCCGGGAGGCCCGGACGAGCCCTTCGATTGCAACGATGGGTGCCCCTCCAGCGGCTCCGCGGACGCCGGCCCTGCGCGGCCCAGCCGCGGAGGAGCAGCGGTGACGACACGATGACGAGGACGACGACGACGACGACAGCGACGACGACGAGGATGACGAGGGCTACGATGACGACGATGACGAGGGCGACGGTGACGACGATGACTACGACGAGGACGACGATGACGACGAGGAGGACG